CGGTCCCTCCCGAGGCTCGTCTGGGGACTATGCTCTTCCTTGCTCCCTCGAGTGGCTGCTGGTGGGATCAGCTCCCCGCCGAGCGGGCCTCTGCGTAGAGCACCTCTCAGCGTGGCAGCTGTTTCATCAGCACGACCACGCCGGAGGGGAGAGGGGGACCAGCGGGAGTGATCACGGGCGGGGGTCTCGGGCATCGTGACTCAGTCATGAACGCGACCAGTCCTTACCTCTGCCGCAGTCTCGTCAGAAGCAAGTCCCCAGGTCCGCCCACACTCCGGGGAGGGCGTCACGCAGAGGCGGGCTGGGGCTTGTCAGAGGACTGATGGTGACTGATGGGCGCTGGGCTAAACCTTCACTCACATCAAGTTATGGTGGCCCGGACAAAACGCTGCCAGGCGTAGGTCCTGTTACTACGCTCACTTAGTCACCAAGGACACCGTGGTTCAGAGAGGTTGTCTGGCCTTCTCAAGCTCACACAGCTGTGGGGCAGAGCTGGAATGAGCACCCAGGTCGGCAGGGCCCGAGGCCTTCCCGGCTCCCCTCCAGGGTCTTTGCTCATTTGGCTTTGCCCTGGCTGTTCCCACACTCTTCCCCCATCACCAGACAAAACCCACCGGCTCAACTCTCCCACCAGATGCCAGCCACTGAGAGCCCTCTGCCCGCTGACAGGCACAGCACGTGCGCCCCACGCGGATTTCCTGCGGCGACAGGGAGCGGGGGTGGCTAGGCCTCTGGGGCATCCCCCTGCTGGCCCGCCCCTACACCCCAGAGGCCCCGTCAGCAGTCACTTCCTTTGAGTGAGAGCAATGAGGGTGCCGGAGATTCCTGCTGCAACCAAGGAAACCCAGGGGGTCGGAGCGGGGGCAGCGGCCGTGCCTTCCCCACGCGCGCCCTGTGACCGCTGATCCTACGGCTCGAGGGCTTTGCTGTCTGACAGCCGGACAGACCTGGGCCTGCAGGAGCTGGCACACAGGACAGGTCATCCTTTAAAAATTATGGTGAGATATTTATAACATAAAATTTTCCATTTTAATCATTTTTAAGTGTACAGTCAGTGGCTAGTGTGCGGTCATTCACACTGTAGCGCAACCAGCACCACCACCCGTCACCAGACCTTTGTCATCGTCCCACATTGGACCCCTGTGCCCAGTACACAGTCCGCCCCCATTCCCACCCCCCTGGCCCCTGGAAAGCACCAGCCTGCTTTCTGTCTCTGTGGATCTGACTCCTCTAGGGACCTCATCTGAGTGGAATCAGGCAGTATTTGTCCTTTGGTGACTGGCCAATGTCACTGAGCATCACGTCCTCAAGGCTCATCTGCGTCATAGCGGATGTCAGGGTTTCCTTCCTTCTTACAGCTGAGGGAGCGCCCACCGAGCGGACAGGCCGCACTGCTTTACCCAGTCATCTGTCGATGGGCACTTGGGCTGCTTCCGCTCCTTGGTGGTTGTAAGTGATGCTGCCGTGAACCCGGCTGTGCGAGTGTCTGTCCAGGGCGGGGCGCTGTGATGGGAGGGAACGGGGTGGAGGGAATGGCCACCAGAGTGGCGTTGCGGCAGTGGGGACTCTGCCTCCTCCAAAGTGACCTGCCTCTGGCTTGATCACTGCTCACTCCGTGAAGCTCCTCAGTTGCGTGGTCCCTGAGTGCCAGGACCAACCTTCTCCATAAGTGGGGGCTCCCCCAGCACCCTGGGGAGGGTGGGGATGTAGGGGAGACTGGAGAGCTGTCACAAACGAGCTAACAGGCAGCCGAATCCAGGACCGACCACCCTCGACTGGATTGTTCCAGGGCCCAGGTGCACCCACGCCTGGTGCAGAGGGGCAAAGCAGCATGCAGAAGTGTCACCATCTGATGAAAAGATGTCGACAAGGCAACGCCCTCCTTGTCAGGTCATGCTTTCCTCACCTGCATCAGTCAGCGAGCTCCTCATGACAGCGAGGACGAGACCTCGGAGGCCCGCCCCGGGAAATGTGATTGAGCTGTGTCTGTGTTGGTCAGCTACTGGTCCAGGAACGGTGCATAACAAGCCAGCCCAGCTCAGGGCTTTGCACGGCAGCACCAACCCTCCTGGATCTGTGGGGGCTGGGGGCTGTTTCACCCTGCAGGTTGGCTCTCTTGCCCCCCTTGGGTGGGTGGGCTCACTGGGGCATCCTCTGGCTCTGGAGAAAGAGGCAAACAAGGGGGAGAGTCTACCCTCCCCCAGTACGTTCCCAGCCCCCAATTTTGCCACTCCACTGGTGTCTCAGTGGCCCAATCAAGTGTCAAGGCCAAGTCTGAAATCCAGGGTCAGGGAAGCACGTTTTGCCTCCGTGCGAAGAGCCACAGGTCACATGACGGGGGCAAGGACACGGGGTTGGGGAAGGGGGGTGAAGAATGGGGGGCAAGTCTGCCTCCTTTCTGGAACATTCCAACAAATGCTGGATGGCCACCGTTCCTTGCCTCCATTCTGGCCCTGGAGGGTAGGTTTATTCGTTCTCACTATCAGATGCTCCAATTGACTCCAGTTCCAAAATTCTGTGACTTTTAATCCACGCCTGATGAACTGTACACGCACAATGAAGTTCGTTCTCTGCCAAGAAAACCCCAATGGGCCCAGGGTCCCTCCTTTGTCCTCAGAGCCCCTGTAAGTGTACCTTTTTTGTTCCAGGCTTCCTGGGAAATAAGAGATTTTGTCTATGGGTTGCTGGGTATTAGCAGAGCTATTTGCAGCTGGAGGGAAACGCAGAACTTGTCGTGCGTCTGCGGGAGCTGTGCTGGCGGGGTCTGGGAGGAGGAAGCGGCGCGCTGAGAATCCGCCCGAGTTGTGGCTGTCAGCTGCCTCGACTGTCAGACGCATTCTTTTTGGGGTGTGTGTGTGTGTGTGTGTGTGTGTGTGTGTGCTGTGAAGTTTCCTTGCTCTTGGCTGTTTCCGAGAAGGGCCTGGATTACTGAAGAAAATCCAGCTTATGTGTCCAAGGGCAAAGCAGGCTGTTTATCTTTGACTCGCACACGCTCCGCGCATCTCCTGAGGGTTGACTCTAAGTAGGATTTATGTCTCCCCAGATGGAAGGTAAAAAAACAAGAAGCCGGCACTGAGTCTGCAGGAGGTGGTGTAGCCAGCACGCGGCTTGCCGTATGCTTCATGTGGATTTCAGAAAAGAGGGTTTTTGGGGGGGGTATTAAAACCGGCAATTTTGAAAATCTGCCCTAGTGTTATGAAGCGATCCTGGCGTGGAATGTGTGTGGCTGGAACTTTCTGCTGGGCTGTGGGAGCTGTGCTGCGGCCAGGGGCTAGAGACATATTCCTAGAGATGCCCTCGCCCTTTGTGACACTCAGGTACGTGAAGGGAGGCTCAGGTCTTCAGAGACGAGTGTGCGGAGAGCTATGGTGCTTGACTCGGGGGACATCTGGCAAAGTCTGGAGCCATTTGGGGTTGTCACAATCGGGAGAGGGGAAGTGCTTCTGGCATCTAGTGGGTGGAGACCAGGGAGCTTCTGAACACCCTGCCGCACACAGGGCGGCCCCACAACAGAGAGTCACCTGCCCAGAGCAATATTCTGCCTGACAGAGGAAGGAAGCCCTCACCCGCTGCGGCAGGGGTGACCCTTGGGGACGTGATGCCCGGCGAAATGAGCCAGCTGGAGAGAACAGAGGCTGCGGCCCCGTCCACGTCTCTGGTGTCCCTGGAGTAGTCAGACCCAGAGACAGGAAGCAGAGCGGTGGGCGCCCGGGGCGGGGAGCTCGTGTTTGATGGGGACAGAGTTTGGGAAGGTGGGAAAGTTCTGGAGACAGACGGGGTGATGGCTGCACAACAGTGTGAACGTGCTTAATGCCACTGAACTATGCACTCAAAAATGGTTACAAGTGTCATGCATACTTACTGCAATTTTTAAAGATGCTGAAATGCAACAAGAACAAAACAATCATTTGCCCAAAGTGTCAGCAGTGCTGAGGCCTGGGAACCTGGCGTGAGAGGTGTGTGACAGGTCGGTGCTGCGTGTGGCCAGCTATGGCTGTGCAGGGTTAGACGCAGCCATTTCACATACGTGTCAGCCAAGTGTCACAGCCTGCAGAGCAGCAGTTGCCCAAAGCCCCTCCTTCTGCCCCCCCATATCCATAGTCCCCGTTCCGAATCACGTGAAAGCAGCCTCACACGCGCTCCCGATCCAGGGGGTCGCTGGGAGGACCTTGCCCCTCCTGGCCGTCCTGCTATGGTTTGGTGTCTCCTGCCTCTGCTATCAGGGACCCTCAAGGGAGGGCCCGTATCTGTGCCCACGTGCTCCCTGGATACATCCAAGCTGCTTCTTGCAGAACGACCCCCTCAACGCTATGCCACACAGTGTCACCCGGCCCCCAGCAGCCCTGCTTGTGCCCAGAGTCCCCAGAGTCCCCCCGGTCCCAGCTCCTCCAGCTGGAACCCTGCCCCCACAGCTCGAACCACGTGCCAGCCCTCCATCACCTTCACCTCCGTCGCGTCCCGAGGAAGCTCTTCCCACCTCCCTTTGTTTCAGTCAGCAGCTCCTGTGCTGGCCTGGGGGGCACCTCGCCGCTGGGACGCCTGGTGGCCCATGTGCCCTGGGCCCAGTCTGCCTGAGCTGGAAACGTGGGGGTGCTCTCTGCGGCCCCCTCCCTGCCCCAGCCTCGACTGCTGGGCCCCCATCGTCCTACCTCCTGAGTTTCTCAGACCCCTCTTCCCCTACCTCCCAGCCCCAGCCCGGGTTTGGACCCCTCCACATTTTACCTGGGCCGCCGAAGCAGATTCCTAGGCTGTCGTTGGTCATTGGGACAGTGGGAACACTGTGACTGGTGGAGGGCTGGCCCTCCTCTGCTGGCTGTCAGAGCCAAGCCCGAGGTCTCCCCGCCCCCCAGCTGCCATCCTTAATGGTTGTGGACACAGAAGTGACTGGGACATGCTGGTCGGCTCAGTGGGACCTCCCCTTTCCCTCTGGAGCTCCCCAGCTACCGGGCCCACTCATGCACCAGCAGCATGTCCCCACCCCCGACCCCAAGCAGCGTTACCTGCCAGCTTCTGCTTCCTCCGGTGCCTTCCCTCACCCCCCGATTTGGGGATGTGCTTGGCCTCCCCAGCCATGACCAGTGGCGCCCCTCACCGTGTCCCGCTGAGCCCTGCCCCCCTGGACAGAGGCCTTGTCCAGCTTGTTGAGTGATGTGTCCCCATGGCAGGTGCTAGGGAAAACGCCAAGCTCATGGGCACCTGGGCCACCCTACTCTGGAAGCTTCTCCACTTCGTGGGGCTCGTTTCCAGCTGTCCATTCCCCTCGGTCCCTCACCTGCAGGTATTTCCTGAGTGCCTGTTCCCAGGCAGACACGGGGCCGGAGCCGCCCGAGACAGACCCCGCTCTGCCCTCACCGGGCCCGCCTTCCAGAGATGGGAGCAGGCAGTGAACAGGTCAGCCGTGCAGGTGAGATGTGCCAGGAGGTGAGGAGGGCCGGGGTGGGGGGCGGAGGGGGACCTGAGGGCATGAGAGCAGGGAGACATGGGGACCTGGAGCAGCATGTTCCAGGCCGAGGGAGCTGCACGTGCAAGGCCTGGAACAGAGGATGAGTTTGGCTTGGGAGTCCCAGGAGGAGCCCAGAGCTCACTGTGACTGAAGCTCAGCGAAAGGCCGTGAAGAGACAGGCAGTCAGAGAGGTACCAGGGCCAGATCCTGCCAAGCTTTGGTGGTGATGGTAAGATGTCTAGGTTTGTCCTTTGTGAATTGGGCTGTTGGAGGCTTTTGCACCCTGGAGGGTCCCTAATCTGATTTAAGTTTTATAAGAATCATTTTGCAAAATTCCTGCTAAGCCCTGTCTCATTGCGCCCCCAGGACTCGGTGCCCTGGGTAAGCCCATTGTTCCCCCATTCTGCAGATGAGAAAATTGAGGCACAGAGAGAGAAAGTGAGCTGCCTAACAGGGTTCAGAGCTCATGAGGGGCAGAGCCGGCTCGTTCCCAAGGCCCGCTGCGGCCCGCACTGCCGTGCACCCAGCCCCACCATGCGCTCTCCCAGTGACGCCGCCGGGTGGTGTCAGGTCACCGTGGAGGGTTCCCAGGTCCACCTTGTCTTTTTGGAAATTAAACTGGCTCATGGGAAATTCAGCCCTCTCCTTGACTCTCATTTCCTTTGTGATCTAACCAAGTGCTTGCGGGGAGACTGCGTGGCAGCGGTGGCTGTGTTGAAAGGCTACAGGGAAGGTGGGGGGCGACAGACCTTGGACCCGAGCTGGGGGTTCTGACCTTGATGGACCGCGTTAGGTCAGCGGTGAAGCCTCTGGTTCCAGAAATGAGTTTCTGCTCCGGCCCAGGGCCGGCCTCGCAGCTCTCATCATGCAGATCTTTTTAATCTGGTGGAAATCAACTTGACAGTTACACGGCTGGTCTTTTTTTTTTTTTTCTTCATTTCAAGCTCACTCAGCCCCCTGCTCTGATGAGAGCTGGGCTCCCAGAAGCCTCCGGAAAGCCCTTCTCTGGCTGACTTGGGACTGGATGGTCCCCACTGGAGCGGAGCAGGGAGACCACCCATTGGGGATGCTCCCCTGTCCCGGCTGCTCCCCCCACCTCTTTGGGGAACAGGGATTGAAAGATGCATAAAAATTAAAACCGTACTCAAAATAAAGGAACGGGGAATATATATTTCCAAAGGCGATAACCATCGCAATCACTTTCACTCAAAGGTAATAAAAATACGTTCCGTAAACATAAACTCGGAGATTGGAGGCTGCGCTCCTGCCACTGCAGGAGGGAAGGCAGAGACTTCCAGAGTCACTCTTGACAGATCCCTCTGATTAAAAACCCGGGAAGGGAAAATATGGGAGGAAGATGGAGAGTTATGAGGGGAAAATAACTACCAAAACGATGACAAAAATTGAGACTACAAATTACATTTACAAATTTTCTCCTGGCTGACACTCCGCCCGGAACGCGGTCACATATCATAAGGTGGCTGGTGTGAATGATTCACGGGGCGGGGGCTGTTCTGGACGCAGCACAGAGTGTTCTGATGTGCGGTGGCACCGGCGGCCCTTGGATGGCTTACTCCAGGCGTCTGCCGCCACGGTCCCTGCAACCATCAGCCCGACTGCCACGGTGACAAGCCTCTGCCAGCCTCGGCAGCTGGGCTGTCTGCAGAAAGCCATCCAGGCTGCTCGCTGGAAACACTAATTTCAGGTGGATAAATGGAAATTTCTGTCCTCTGTGCCTGCTGGGGTTTGCTTTCTGTGAGAAGAGAGCTGTGATCGTGGCTAGTTCCAGGTTCCTCCGGCCCTGCCTGGGCTGTGTCCTGGGGGCCACGCCCAGCCCTGCGGACACCTCCCTGCTCTGGGCGCGCCGGCCCAGTTCCTGCCTGTCCCCGGCCTTTGGTCCTAGCAGGTGACCTGACTCCTGAGCGCTTGGCGCACTTTCTGCGTCTTCCGTCATCAAAACGCAGATGAGACGCCGTTGTTCATTTATCGACTTTGCAGAACTCGAGATAATAAAAGCACGGAGGCAAGCCCAAACGCTCGGACTCGGTGAGGAGGGTGGGTGGTACCGTGCTCCGCTGGTCTGTATGCAGAGTGGAGTGAGGCTCCTGCAAGCAATGTGAGAAAGTCTCAGGGACCCTGAACAAGCTCATTCCCATTGCTCTTCCTATGGGCTGAGTCATGTCCCCCAGAGACATGCATCCAGGTCCTAAGGCCTGGTACCCGTGACTGTGGCCTTGCTTAGAAATAGGGTCTTTGCAGATGTAATTAAGATGTAAATTAAGATGACTTGGGGGGCCCTTAATCTGACATGATTGGAGTCCTTGTAAGACGAGGGGAGACACAGAGACACAGAGGACACCACGCAGTGCCAGAGGCAGAGGCTGGGGTTCGGCTGGGCGGGCAGAGAAACACCAAGGATGGCAGACGACACTGGAACCTAACAGGCACGGGACAGATTTTCTCCCGGAGCCTTCAGAAAGAGCTGTGCCCTGTGGACACCTGGATTTCAGACTTCCGGCTTCTAGACCTGCGAGATGGTACATTTCTGTTGTTTTAAGTCCCCCGGTTTGTAGCACTTTGTGGCGGCAGCCCCTAGCAAACTAATGCAGCCTTTTTTTTTTTTCACTCTTTAATTTCTAGGAAGAAGTTTTATAGCTCCTCATTGGCCAAATTTATTTCCACTTCCTCCCGGGCGCACAGGCCACATATCCCTGTCTCCCTGGCAGTCTCTTGGAAGCACGTGGCCGAGTGACAGAAGCTACAGACCTGGCCCCGAGAAGCTCAGCTCCCCTCCGAGATGCCCCCTCTGGCTGGGAGAGACACCTAGCCGAGAGCCCCGGGTCCACGAGACAGAGAGAGTCCATCCTGTCGACTGAAAAAACAAACGCACAACCTAGAAGCTGAGAGGTACATTTATTTGGTGGATGTTCTGAGGACTCGAGCCCGGGAGGCGCCCTCTCCGATAGCTCTGAGGAGACAGCGGAGGGGCCAGGGTATAAAGGAGTTTGTGCCACAAAGAGCAGGTAGTCAGAATGTAAAAGGTTACTGTTAATTAAGAAAAGCAGATATCCCAAGTCAGGGAACTTAGCGCTTTGCTGTGTGTGGAAGGCAGAGGTCTGGGTGCACTGAAATCACCCCTTTGAAAGGCATCTCAGCTGCTCAGGGCCAGTGTCCTGTTATCCCACATCCCGAGGCCCCTCGGGCGCACCGTCGGGGTGGCCCAATATCCTCTGTGTACTGACGTGGCTGGTAGCATCTTCCATCCGCAGCCCCCAAGGGCACCCCAGACACCCGTGTCGAGCTGTCGTGTGGGCGAGCAGCGGCCTTCTGCTGAGGCTGTTGGGGTCCAGCACTCAGCCGCTCTTCACTAAGACGAGGACGTGATCAGACAGGGATAAAAGCCAAGATTCCGGGGCCAGGGTGTTCCCGTGCCTCAGTTTACTCACTTGGGGGCTCAAAAGAAAGTCACTTTCTCCTCATGGTCAGGTCAGCACGGCCCCTCGCCTTCGCCCTTTGAGCCTTTGGGCAGTCGTCCTTCTGGGGTGGTGGTGGGGGTTTCTCAGGCACCACTCCG